GGGTCCCTGTACGGCCTCCCATTGCTGCTGTCTCCATCGCCACACTCTGCCATGTGCCACTTTCAGGTCTCCTCACACACTGCTGGTGTGTTGAATTTTTTTGACATAGGGTGCTGCAGATTACGGGCCTCCCATAGCTGCTGCCAGGCCCCTAATCTGCCATGGGCCCCTATATACCGCCTCCTCATGCTGCTGCCAGGTCCAGAGTCTCTCATGGGTCCCTGTACGGCCTCCCATTGCTGCTGTCTCCATCGCCACACTCTCTGCCATGTGCCACTTTCAGGTCTCCTCACACACTGCTGGTGTGTTGAATTTTTTGACATAGGGTGCTGGCAGATTACGGGCCTCCCATAGCTGCTGCCAGGCCCCCTAATCTGCCATGGGCCCCTATATACCCGCCTCCTCATGCTGCTGCCAGGTCCAGAGTCTCTCATCATGGGTCCCTGTACGGCCTCCCATTGCTGCTGTCTCCATCGCCACACTCTGCCATGTGCCACTTTCAGGTCTCCTCACACTGCTGGTGTGTTGAATTTTTTGACATAGGGTGCTGGCAGATTACGGGCCTCCCATAGCTGCTGCCAGGCCCCTAATCTGCCATGGGCCCCTATAGGCCCAGGTCCAGAGTCCTCATGCTGCTGCCAGGTCCATCGCCACCAGCCATGTGCCACTTTCAGGTCTCCTCACACACTGGGTGTGTTCCCTGACATAGGGTGCTGGCAGATTACGGGCCTCCCATAGCTGCTGCCAGGCCCCTAATCTGCCATGGGCCCCTGTACCACCTCCTCATGCTGCTGCCAGTCCAGAGTCTCTCATGGGTCCCTTTCAGCTGCTCTCCATCGCCACACTCTGCCATGTGCCACTTTCAGGTCTCCTCACACACTGCTGGTGTGTTCAATTTTTTGACATAGGGTGCTGGCAGATTACGGGCCTCCCATAGCTGCTGCCAGGCCCCTAATCTGCCATGGGCCCCTATATACCGCCTCCTCATGCTGCTGCCAGGTCCAGAGTCTCTCATGGGTCCCTGTACGGCCTCCCATTGCTGCTGTCTCCATCGCCACACTCTCTGCCATGTGCCACTTTCAGGTCTCCTCACACACTGCTGGTGTGTTGAATTTTTTTTTTGACATAGGGTGCTGGCAGATTACGGGCCTCCCATAGCTGCTGCCAGGCCCCTAATCTGCCATGGGCCCCTATATACCGCCTCCTCATGCTGCTGCCAGGTCCAGAGTCTCTCATGGGTCCCTGTACGGCCTCCCATTGCTGCTGTCTCCATCGCCACACTGCCATGTGCCACTTTCAGGTCTCCTCACACACTGCTGCTGGTGTGTTGAATTTTTTGACATAGGGTGCTGGCAGATTACGGGCCTCCCATAGCTGCTGCCAGGCCCCTAATCTGCCATGGGCCCCTATATACCGCCTCCTCATGCTGCTGCTGCAGGTCCAGAGTCTCTCATGGGTCCCTGTACGGCCTCCCATTGCTGCTGTGTCCTCCATCGCCACACTCTGCCATGTGCCACTTTCAGGTCTCCTCACACTGCTGGTGTGTTGAATTTTTTGACATAGGGTGCTGGCAGATTACGGGCCTCCTATAGCTGCTGCCAGGCCCCTAATCTGCCATGCCCCTAGGCCCCTAATCTGCCATGGGGCCCCTGTACCGCCTCCTCATTGCTGCTGCTCTCCATCGCCACAGTGTCTCATGCCATGTGCCACTTTCAGGTCTCCTCTCACACTGCTGGTGTGTTGAATTTTTTTGACATAGGGTGCTGGCAGATTACGGGCCTCCCATAGCTGCTGCCAGGCCCCTAATCTGCCATGGGCCCTATACCGCCCTCCTCATGCTGCTGCCAGGTCCAGAGTCTGTCATGGGTCCCTGTACGGCCTCCCATTGCTGCTGTCTCCATCGCCACACTCTGCCATGTGCCACTTTCAGGTCTCCTCACACTGCTGGTGTGTTCCATTTTTTGACATAGGGTGCTGGCAGATTACGGGCCTCCCATAGCTGCTGCCAGGCCCCCCTAATCTGCCATGGGCCCCTATACCGCCTCAGGTCCAGAGTCTCTCATGCTGCCCTGCCAGGTCCATTGCAGTCTCCATCATGCCATGTGCCACTTTCAGGTCTCCTCACACTGCTGGTGTGTTTCAATTTTTTGACATAGGGTGCTGGCAGATTACGGGCCTCCCATAGCTGCTGCCAGGCCCCTAATCTGCCATGGGCCCCTATACCGTGCCTCCTCATGCTGCTGCCAGGTCCAGAGTCTGTCATGGGTCCCTGTACGGCCTCCCATTGCTGCTGTCTCCATCGCCACACTCTGCCATGTGCCACTTTCAGGTCTCCTCACACTGCTGGTGTGTTCCATTTTTTGACATAGGGTGCTGGCAGATTACGGGCCTCCCATAGCTGCTGCCAGGCCCCTAATCTGCCATGGGCCCCTACCGCCTCCTCATGCTGCTGCCAGGTCCAGAGTCTCTCTGCATGGGTCCCTGTACGTCCCCCATTGCATGTCTCCATCGCCACACTCTGCCATGTGCCACTTTCAGGTCTCCTCACACACTGCTGGTGTGTTCAATTTTTTGACATAGGGTGCTGGCAGATTACGGGCCTCCCATAGCTGCTGCCAGGCCCCTAATCTGCCATGGGCCCCTATATACCGCCTCCTCATGCTGCTGCCAAGGTCCAGAGTCTGTCATGGGTCCCTGTACGGCCTCCCATTGCTGCTGTCTCCATCGCCACACTCTGCCATGTGCCACTTTCAGGTCTCCTCACACTGCTGGTGTGTTCCATTTTTTGACATAGGGTGCTGGCAGATTACGGGCCTCCCATAGCTGCTGCCAGGCCCCTAATCTGCCATGGGCCCCTATACCGCCTCCTCATAGCTGCTGCCAGGTCCAGAGTCTGCCATGGGTCCCTGTACCGCCTCCCCATTGCTGCTGTCTCCATCCCACACTCTGCCATGTGCCACTTTCAGGTCTCCTCACACTGCTGGTGTGTTCAATTTTTTTGACATAGGGTGCTGGCAGATTACGGGCCTCCCATAGCTGCTGCCAGGCCCCTAATCTGCCATGGGCCCCTATATACCGCCTCCTCATGCTGCTGCCAGCCAGTCCAGAGTCTGTCATGGGTCCCTGTACGGCCTCCCATTGCTGCTGTCTCCATCGCCACACTCTGCCATGTGCCACTTTCAGGTCTCCTCACACTGCTGGTGTGTTGAATTTTTTGACATAGGGTGCTGGCAGATTACGGGCCTCCCATAGCTGCTGCCAGGCCCCTAATCTGCCATGGGCCCCTGTACCGCCTCCTCATGCTGCTGCTGCTGCCAGGTCCACCCTGTACGTCCCATTGCTGCTGTCTCCATCACACTCTGCCATGTGCCACTTTCAGGTCTCCTCACACACTGCTGGTGTGTGTTCAATTTTTTGACATAGGGTGCTGGCAGATTACGGGCCTCCTATAGCTGCTGCCAGGCCCCTAATCTGCCATGGGCCCCTATACCGCCTCCTCATGCTGCTGCCAGGTCCAGAGTCTCTCATGGGTCCCTGTACGGCCTCCCATTGCTGCTGTCTCCATCGCCACACTCTGCCATGTGCCACTTTCAGGTCTCCTCACACTGCTGGTGTTGAATTTTTTTTTCATAGGGTGCTGGCAGATTACGGGCCTCCCATTGCTGCTGCCAGGCCCGTAATCTGCCATGGGCCCCCGTACCGACTCCTCATGCTGTGACGTTGCAACAAGGTGGAATTCAACCCTACATATGTTAGACCGCCTTTACGAACAGCAAAAGGCCATCACAGATTTCCTGATGTTAAAAGCGGAAAAAGTACTCCCTGTGTAACTTAGATGTCAGCCATTGGCAGCTCATGCGTGACACCTGCGCTTGCTCAGGCCCTTTGAGGAGGCCACGCTATTCGTGAGTCGGCAGGACTATGGGATGAACGACGTCATTCCTCTGTTGCACGTCCTGGAACAAATGCTGTTAACAATGGCTGGTCAGGGTGCGGTAGACGTGGCGCACAGATCTCAACGCCACATGACCCCTGTGGGGGCAGGACAGGAAAGAGAGGAGGAGGTAGAGGAGGACATTGGTGCTCAGGAATTATTGAGTGAAATGGGTGGTTTTTCCACTCAGCGGACAGGAGTGGAGGAGCAGGAGCATCTGGTAGAGGAGGAGGAAGAGGAGACAGAGGACCCAGACGCACCGTGGCAGTATGCTGTGGAGATGGAGGCAGGGAGTCCCTCGCATTCCTTGGCACAAATGGCCCATAGCATGCTCGCTTGCTTGCGTACCGACAGCCGAATAATAACCATCAGACAGAGGGATGACTTTTGGCTGTCCACCTTGTTGGACCCTCGCTACCGTTCAAAAATGGTGGCCTTTTTCACACCTGCTGAGAGGGAGGCCAAAATAACGTACTATAAAAACCACCTATGTAGTCAGCTGGTCTCTGCCTGTCTGCGCCAACGTCCATCCTCAGACACTGTGGGCCCTGTGCGCTCGCGTTCCGCTGCCATGGCAGCAGGGGAGGGGTGGGGTGGTAGGAGCAGTGGCAGCTCCACCAGCAGCGGCTGCCTCAGTCTGCAGTCGATGATGAGTAGCTTTCTTCACCAGCGCAGTGAGGAAACTACTAACCAGCCGCAGCAGCAGCAGCATCAGGTGGACCTGGAGCAGGACCTCAAACAACAGGCTTAGGCCTACTTGGACAGCACCCTGCCAACCGAGGTAGACAATCCCCTTGACTACTGGGCAACGAAACTTGACCTTTGGCCCCAACTAGCTGAATTTGCCCTTGAAAGGCTGTCATGCCCGGCCAGTAGCGTGGCATCGGAGCGCGTGTTTAGTGCGGCAGGAGGTATTGCAACTCCGCGGAGGACACGACTGTCCACCCAAAGTGTGGAGAGACTCACGTTTGTGAAAATGAATCAGGCGTGGATTAGTCTGGATTTCAAACCACCAGTTCCTGACACAACTGACTAAATCTGCATGGGCCCCTATATACCCGCCTCCTCATGCTGCTGCCAGGTCCAGAGTCTGTCATGGGTCCCTGTACGGCCTCCCATTGCTGCTGTCTCCATCGCCACACTCTGCCATGTGCCACTTTCAGGTCTCCTCACACTGCTGCTGTGTTCCATTTTTTGTCATAGGGTGCTGGCAGATTACGGGCCTCCCATAGCTGCTGCCAGGCCCCTAATCTGCCATGGGCCCCTATATACCGCCTCCTCATGCTGCTGCCAGGTCCAGAGTCTCTCATGGGTCCCTGTACGGCCTCCCATTGCTGCTGTCTCCATCGCCACACTCTGCCATGTGCCACTTTCAGGTCTCCTCACACTCCTGCTGGTTTCCATTTTGTCATAGGTTGCTGGCAGATTACAGGCCTCCCATAGGTGCTGCCAGGCCCCAAATCTGCCATGGGCCCCCGTACCGCCTCGTCACTCTGCTGCTGGGTCCACAGTGTGACATGGGTCCCTGTACCGCCTCCCATTGCTCCCACTCTGCCATGTGCCACTTTGAGGTCTCCTCACACTCCTGCTGGTTTCCATTTTGTCATAGGTTGCTGTATGGCCTCCCATTGCTGCTGCCTCCACCGCCACACTGTGGCTCCAAACACTGGTTTTGGCCCCGTGACTGGCCAAATGAGTGAAGTGTGCGGTGATTCTAAGATCGACGGCACTCATCTGCATGTCATACTGACTGACAGTATTATTTCTCTTCCCCAGCAGACTCCAAGGGCATTTAAATTAAAGGTTCAGTGTTCTGCACTAATATTAAGTCTCTCTGAAGCCTAGAAACACCCTTTTTTAAGTTAAATTCACAGCGAATATACTCGACTCGAATCGAATATTTTCCACGAATTCGCCGAATCAGTCGAATCGAATTTTTGAATACTTCGCTCATCTCTAATCATCACTATTAATGAATTCTGTTTTACACATATATTCATCCATAAGCTTGCCCATAAAGTGATACTAAACCCAGGACCCTGCATTCACTATATCTGGTCTCCCACAGTACACACTACATGGAAATACAATTATTTTAGTAAATATAAACTGCTAAATACCTTTTAAATAAATACCTTGCAGTTAGAGCAGTCTTGTGACTTCAGCAGAGCACTGGTTAAAGCTTGTAGGACGAGTTTTCATTCTGCTCTAGGAGGATGTGAAAGTCCTGACCCTTTGTCTGGACAGTGCTGATTGGCCCTGTGCTGATCACATGCACTCTCCCAGAAAAAAACCTCTCTAGCAATACACACCAAACTGAGCATGTGCATGTGACTACGGATTCAGTCTGTATCAGGTGGTCCTTTCAACAAGAGGAGGGGCAGAGAAGAAAGGATCAAACAGCCTTTTTATATAGTGCAGAGGATTAGCCCCTTAGATTCCACAGTGAGTATAGCAAACATGCTTTACTGCATATACAGACTGATTTTACTGTTGTGTGTTTAGTAACACTTTAACATATTCCAATGTCAGTTCATCATCTGGACGTGCATCAAGTGATGTGACAAGCGTTTCATAGTTTCAGGTAAACCACTAAGTAATAATGCTGCCACATGAAAATATTTTATTTCTTCTCCTATACCTCTCAGACGTTTAACCGTTTCCCAGGTGTGCCCTATGTAATCCTGTATATCTTGGCATTTCATCAGCTTGGTTTGGTATATATTTCTAACCAAGTACAGTTTATTGATGAGATTAGCTCTTTCATGCACCTTTTGTAACCCTTCCCACATTTCTTTAGCAGTTCTACGTTTACATATATGTATGATATGATCATCTTCTATGCTAAGAAAGATTGTGCTCTGGGCTTGCTGATCTTTCTCTATCCACTCATCTGAAGGATGTTCTGGCCTGACTTCATAAATACATTTCCATGTACCTTCTCTTATTAGCAGCATTTTCATCTTGACTTTTCAAGACTGGTAGTTCTGGTTTATCAGGTCTGCAAATGAAAGCTTTGTTGCAGCTGTGTTACTGGTTATTTTCTTTTTATTCTTTTGCAGTCTTCTTTCTGTTGCTCTATCTTGCATTACATTTGCTGTAGTTTGCTATGACTGGGTATCTGGGCCCATAACCTGTTATAGATTCTGTATATAGCCCTACACAGCAGACAGTGCACAGTCCATATGTGTTTATCTGCTGCTCATCTGCAAACAGGAAACAGGAAATTTATTACAAAGAAAAGACATAGAGTTTACCATAGACGCAGCTAGACATTTATAAACATTGTCATCTACTGGCTGAAGAATATATCTGTAGTTGTTGCACAAAAATACATGAACATTGTATTCCAACAAAACGTCACTTAACCAAAGAGACTAGGAGGCATCTGACATATAGGCACAATTTGACTCTTGTCCACATGTGGGTCTGTAGAACAATTGGCTCAGAACAGTTGTGTTTAGGTAACCTTGGGGGGAGGGGGGTAATGGAAGAGGATGCTAGTGCTGCTCTTGGGTTACAATTATAGCTAACAGGACAGGTCCCTCCCTTTCTGAAGGATTGCTCCTTCAGAATGCAACATAGATGTCTGGATTGAGTGACTCTTATCTCATGTCTATGGATTGGTTATGTTCTTCTACTTTGTAATTATTAGCTTATCTAGATGACATTTCTCATAGAAAAAGCCCTCTCTGAGCGGATTGTCAGAAGTAGTTTATGCACTTTGAAAGCCAGTGCTACCATATGAAACTCTTTAGCAGTATGTCTTTCTTCTTTTATTGATAATGGTGCTCAACTCCTCTGTCTGTCTTCCTACTTTTCTTGCAGCCTGATCCTGCCAATGTCAACAGAACAGTTGAGCTACAATTTTAGTTTGACAGTTGCCCATCTCTCTTTGAAGGACACTGACAGCTACTCCTCATTGACAGAGTGCAGTAAACCAACTGCCAAAGTGATAGCAGATCTAATTGCAATGGGGAAGCATCTGTCACAGTCTACTCTTCCAGACTGGGCAGTCACCATAAGGGCCAATTCACACAGGCATGCACTATAATGTATAGAAAATGGATGTACATTCCTATCCATTTTAGTCATGCACTAACATGCTTTTACATTCATTTTGATGTCCATTGACATACATTTTTTACATCTGTTGACATGCATTTTAGCGTGCATTAAAGCGTACTGCAATTTCACAGAATATCCTATGTATTGTGTTGACATCCACTTGCATCTGCTTACATCAATTGCGTTGCACTAAAATGCATACATGTTGCATTTTAGCACAACACAGGTCAATGCAGCATTATGGTATGAATAAGACACATTGGAAATTATTGTTTTTCAGGTGTCCTAACAATGATCTCCGTTTTACAGCTGCGCTAAAACTGTATGCATTTTAGCGTAACGCAACTGATGTAAGCCGATGCAAGCGGATATAAGTCGATGTCAACACAATGCACAGGATATCCTGTGAAAATGCAGTGCGCTTTAACGCATGCTAAAATGCATGTCAACGGATGACAAAAATGTATGTCAATGTTTTTCAGATGTCCTTACATTGACCTGCGTTTTACAACTGCGCTAAACTGCAGATAAACACACTGGTGTAAATTGGCCCTTAGAACCAAGCCCTGCTCATTCTTTTTTGAATGAAAGCTGTGATTGCAGCTTTCATTCATACATTACTTTTATTTGTAAATATGTTTCTTTTGCATAAAAAATATATAATTAAAACAAAATCTTAGCCTATTACTAACCCTTAGTTAACCCTAATTTGAATTATTACTTGCTTCTTTTCTTAGCTGTTTGTTTTTGCTCTGGTTTTTGCATTTGTTTGTTTTTGTAACACGCAATAAAATATGTTTTGTACCGGAAGCATCATTTTAGTGCCAAAGGGACAAATTACAGAATAAAATGTGCACTTTTGTTGAGTTTTCAAATGAGAACTTTGGTTTCAATAATAATAGTCTGTTTTAACATGCTGTTTGTTATTAATCACACTAGTTTAACATCATAACATGTCCATTATCCCATTTCGTTATCCTTGGAGCAAAAACTGCTAATCCTTTGGTTAGATGACAGCAGCTGTCATTTCTGTACCTTGAGGCTGTGAAGGCTCCATCCTGTGCTGTTCAGGGAGGCACACTTTTGCATTTTTTTCCATAGGTGCCATAGGACTTTGTCCTAGCCTTGAGCTTAACTATTTTGCAGCTAGCTCTAAACTAAGTTCAATGGCCTCTAAAACAGTCGTACAAAATAATATTAAGGTCTGTCCTGACACTTAGCAGTTGAATTAGTCCGGTATGAAGGCATTTTTAAGGCGCTGAATGGTTGGCCACTGTGTGGAAAAGATAGAACATGGACCTTTCATGGACCTTTCATGTGATTAAGTTCACTAGATCCTGATCTGACTCCTGGAAAGCCATGCATAGCAGCCCTGACTGTTGTGAGTAACCAGTCACCTAGTATTGCAGCCAGGGGTGGACTGAAAACTCATGGGGCCCCCGGGCAACAGGGGATCATGGGGCCCCTGTGTCCTTGCCCAAACTCAAAAAAGTCTATGAAAAAGGTACCAGGGGCATCTCATGGGGCCCCCTACTGACCCCGGGCCCTCGGACAGTGCCCGAGTTTCCAAATGGTCAGTCCGCCCTGATTGCAGCTCAACTGCTGTCACTCTACATTTAGAGAACAGGGGAAATCAAACCAATTCTTATTACTTACATGGGTGGTTGGCATGCTGTCTTTCTCAGAAGTTTGCACTGAACTGTAAGTCAAATTAGATGCATCCCCTGTAAAGAGTTAACATTTTTTGGATACTTTCTAAGACTAATTTCCATAAGATAAGATATCTCCAATTTTGATTTACTTACCAGTCTTCCTCCCCTCCCAGAGGCCCTTCTCCACAGTTTTTTTACAAGGAAAAGAAATTTGAACTTTTTTTCATGCTGAAATGAAAAAGTGATTTTATTATAAAGTTTAAATCTAAATCTAATAACTAAAAGTTGTAAAAATAAGCCTAATAAGCTCAAACATGTTAACGCTGAACCCCAGCATTGCAAAGGATTGTCTAGTTGAGGGAAACAGGAAGGATGTATTACTGACCCTATCAATTGGTCTACAATGGTCTATCACCATTCTTTTCTACTTGAAACTATGGACAAACCCTTGGTGTTATGATGTACAGTGCAAGGCTGTTAAGTCTACATTGGAAGAGGTGAGCATGCGACTGAGGTTAAAAGTGACATGGTAAAGTGGCAGCACTGGATCGGTCACATGGATGAAGGATGCCTGCAAGACCGAGGGATAGGGTAAGTGCGAGGCCCCACTGCAAAGTTAGATTTTGTCTAATTCTCAGTTTAGCTTTAATATGGTTTCTAAAGTTCTTCACCCATTTTTTTGACATGGCTCCTCTATATCCACCCACCCTCCACTGCACATATATCAGATTCTTTTTTTTTGGTTTGTTTAGTGTTTCTTTTTGATTAAGTTTTGGACGGGCCCTCCCCCATCCATTCTCTGTCATTTGACTAGGCGAGTAGCTCCGAACATCGCACCAGTCACTAACAGAGGAGGGGGTGGGCCTAGTGGCGTGTCATGAGTAGGCTGTGTCAGAACGTGGAAGAGCCGGTGTAGCCTCCTGGTGATGACACAAAGGAAAATGCCGGCGTGGGACAGCTGTATGTGCATCCTCTGGGTGAGTATCTCAAGTCAGGCCATCTCAGCATCAGGTAAGTGGGAGAGAAAAA